ACCACTCAAGATATCTTCAAATAGGCAATATAAAGAAACTGCATTTTACTACAGACTTTGGAAAGGAAGAGAAAGCATTTTTATCCCCTTTGCTCTGTCAGCTCATTTCCTGTTAGAGTTTGCCAATAAGGAAGTAAATAACACTTCAATCCCAGGTTACAGTGTTCTACTGTTTTAGCAGCCACCTCAAGGCCAGATGCAGTACCTTCTGGTATGTCTTCTCATCCAAGGCCAGAGGTGACAAGAAAATCCAGAAATTGGGGTATGCCTATTTATGTCGTGGGTACCAGTGGGGAATAGCATGGCCTTCCTTCTTAGACAAGCTAAACCGAATGGCACTAAGGCGAGGAGTCAACCATGGATGTGGCAACCAAGGCAGATGGTCCATGAGATGACAGTGCCAGTCTGAAAAGTTGATGTTTCTGATACAAATATGTTAGAATTCTACAATATGTTCTGATTTCTCAAGTCTATGTTTTATACTGGGATCCCAACTTCACCCATTATTTCCTTGCCTTGAACACTTTGTGTATTTTAGACTAATGCATATTTAGCTTTATCAATAGAAATCTCCTCGTGGCTTTTTCTATTATATACTGAAGTATTGTTGAATCTACTTAGTGACTTGCATATTTCAAAACTAACTTTCTAGGACCTAGTGTCTTGTTTTCATCTTTTTACATACAAACCAAATATCTTCCATTTTCCCATGCTTTTCTCATTTTCCTCTGTACTAACCCTGTTTGGTTTGGTTTCTGTAGCCTTTTTCTCTCTCTACCTCATTCACAATTTGTCGAGCGTATGCCTTAAAGGATGTAGAACAGAAATATATGTGACAGAGAAGCAGTTATGGTAACCTCTATAACCTCAAGTGTTCTGTTAGGAAATAAATCTACTTGGCCTCTCTTTTTTAAAATTTTTGTGCAAAAGGTTTGACTTGTTAGTATTAAAATGTATATTTGATATTCCATATTTACTTCATTATTTATTTTATAATTATTTTTAAAACATAAGCAATCTTAGGAAAATGGAAAATACAAATAAAATTTCAGATTACCTTACTCCCTTTCTTAGACATAACCACTGATAACATTTTGATATATTTCTCTAGGCTTTTATCATTCATTCATTTCTTTATGTCATGTACAACTGTACTTTTAGTAAAACTGTATTATACAATTCATACTTTTTATAGCTTATTATTTATAATTAACATTATCAATTTTTAATTTCTGCATAGTATTTTAGTGATTGGTGATTCTATAAGTTACTTACCTAATTTTCTTCTATGAGATATATGTATGATCTGTTTTCAATTTTGTGTTCATTGTAAGAAAAGGCTCATTAGAGAAACATTACAAGTCTAAATAAATACCTAAATTCACTGAGTTTTTACATGCATTCTCTAGTTTGTTGCTCACTACTGTTTTCTGTTTTCCATGTGTGTTAATCCATTTTCCATTACTGGAACAAAAATGTTTGAATTTGAGTCACTTGTAAAGAAGATAGTTTTGGAGGTGGGAATGTTGTTGAAATCTGGGTTCTTGTCCCCAGTGCCAATCCAATAACAAGGACACGGTTTAGAGAAGAAAGGAAAAAGATGATTTATTGCTTTGCTAGCAAAGGAAAAACATAGGAACTTCTGTCCCAAAGACTGTGATTCTGCCCATTAGCAGGAACAGGGGGCTTTAAAGAGGTGACTCAAAGGCTACATTCCACACATTCTCTGTCTGGAGTTCTAAGGGAGATAGTCATTTCTGAGATCTTCTGGTACCATCCACAAAGTCTGGATTACTTCATTCCTATGGTGTGTACTCAGGGACAGATAACTGCCTAGGTTGGAGAAGAAAGGTTATCTCTTCCCCCTGAGATTAGAGGGGGAGAGATTAGGGAGGAGCAGGGAGAGGAAGAAGCATGTGGTTTTAAAAATGAGTTGCACCCTCTGGGTGCAGTGGCTCAGGAGGCTGAGACAGGAAGATCGCAAGTTCAAAGCCAGCTTCAGCAATTTAACAAGGTGCTAAGCAACTTAGTGGGACCCTGTCTCTGAATAAAATACAAAATAGGGCTGGGAATGTGGCTCAGTGGTGGAATGCCCCTGAGTTCAATCCCCAGTACCAAAAAACAAAACAAAACAAAACTAATGCTAATAATTTGCAGTGGCAGAGCAACAAGGGCTATATTCAAAGGATAGAGTGGACCACCATTACAGGAAGTCCAGACAGCGCTGGTACTGGGTCTGGCATGAACCTCATAATGGATGGCATCATTATAGTGGGAACATTAGTTAAGAACTAATCAGGATTCCCAGGAAAACTACTTTAATCTCCTCAAGGCACATCCCTAGTGACCTAAACACTTCCCACAAAACCTCTCCTCTTTTTTTTTTGTTTGTAGTGCTGGGGGTTGAACCAAGAGTTGATCTACTACTGAGCTACATCCCCCAGATCTTTTTTGTGTATTTATTTTTATTTTGAGACAGGGTTTTCCCAGGATGCTAAGGCTGGGCCTTGAACTGGTGATTCTTCTGTCTCAGCCTCCCAAGACTCTGGGATTACAGACATGCATCACCATATTCAGCTAAGGACCTACCTCTTAAAAGTTCACTGCCCCACAGCATTGCTACACTGGGGGCTAAACTTCCAACACAAAAAACCTTGTAGGACACACTCAAACCATATCGTAACCAAAGCACCATGTTGGTATTGACCAGTGTTAGCACTCATAGTTACGAGTGCTTTCAAAGTGACTTGACCTGGGCTACTAAAAATATGGTACAGTTCATTATTCAACTTCAGTGAGATAAGAGGGTTGCACCAGAGCTTTTCTTCATTCTTTGACACACTCTATCAAAGTGAGAGAAAGAGGGAGGGAGGGACTGAGCTACATACTATACACTCTAAAAACCAGTTGATTTTCATTCTACCACAGAATTTTATCTAATCATAGACTGTTGTCAAGCACTTAAAGAACATATTATGCCCAAGTTTTATTGGAAATTATGTAAGGAAAAACTGGTTCAGTTAATCTATCAACAAATATCAATTATTTATTCTAGGAAGATGTGAGGGATCCAGCTTGTGGTTCTCATGGAGCTGAAAAGCTATTTGTGGAATTATGAGAACAAAGTATACTGGAAATAGAAAAAATGTAAATAACATAACATAATTATTATCTGTATATAGTAAAATGATGGCTTGGATTTTTGAGAGAACCAAATTTCCTTACAGAAAAGCAGAATGAATCAATGTATTCACTTTGCATATATTTATGGAATATTTACTATGCACTAAAAACTGGGCATACAAGTATAGACAGAACATTCCTCCTGCCCTCATCGCACTTGGAGAAGGGCAATCTTTTTGATACAGAAGTCAGAGGTAATGGTATCAAGAAGAATAGAGGTCTTCCAGATAGAGGACAATAGCAATTGCAAAGAAAAAATTGGGTTTATAAATTAGGTGTCTTTTTGTTTTTTTGAGTTCAGAAAAAAGAACATAAAGCCAATAATTTTTCTGGAAATGCTTTTCCAAGACAATATGATACCTAAAGAATAATAAAAAGGTAGAAAATAGGTAAATAAAAACTGAAGGAAATCAGCTGTTATATGAAGAAAGTAGTAAGAGGGAGGATAATTATACTAACATTTCAAAACATTAACTAAAATTGGATACACAGTTTATAACACTGAAAATAAATGTGGTTTCAAGTCTTGTGAACTTATAAAATAGAGATGACTAAGGAAACAATAAAAATGACATTGAAGGGTATCTCTTCCTTACTGAGCGTATGATTATAAGCTTCTTTGTCTATATAATTAATTTATTTTGAGCCAAATGATCATTAATAATTTTTAAGTTACTGTAATATAATTCTAAACATCAAGTCACAAAAATGAGCTACTGTTATATAGCAAGCAAACTTCCAGAGTATATAATGAATATTTTTATTTTGCTTTCCATGTGCAGATACAGTTAGTTTGAAAATGAATCATAGTTATCTATAAAACAACTTAAATTACATTTTTTGATATTAGAATTTTTAAAAAATTAACTAAGTTTTTTGCTAGTCATTCTTGAAAGGAGATGCACTTGCAAATTATTGCAACAGTTATGGAAATAATTTTGCATTGGATATGTGAATGTGAGAAAACTGCCATACAAAAGTAAAATAATCCAATGAACCATAATAACAATATTATTAATGTATGCTTTTGGTAGAGGATTTTCAGAAAGTTTTTCCCCTACCCACTTTTCCTTCTTGTACTAAATAAAGAATCAGGAAATGAAATAACTGAAATGTTGAATTCTTTAGGGTGTGCTCACAGTTCACTACATTTCATCTAGATCATTAACTTTTTAAAAGCCTAAGATAGGCCAAGCTGTATCAAAGCTGTTTCATCAGATCTATCACATTCATTATTGATACAATATTGCCCCCATCAGCATTGGTCTTGCACTGTGTCCCTTTTCACCTGGAAAGTATCATTTTCAAGTTACCTGAAACGTTTTTCATTGATTGACCTCATGCTGGTGCCCGATTACCTTTTCCACTTTGCATTGGTGAAAGCTATTTGTGTCATCGTTTTATTACCTCATAGGTTTAAATATTTTAACCTACTTTCTTCCACAATAAAATAATATCCAAGAGTAGAAAAAAACTTGCTTTGGTGATCATTTTATATAAAGATTTCCAAGCCAATGACACTAGTTTTTGTATGGGAATATGATGGTTACTTGGAATGTCTCTTTTTGTTTAGTTTATGAATGTGGTTTTATTTATGTTTCTATGTGTATTCTCTGTGATTTTTCTCCTTTTATGTATATATGAGTAGTACTACTTTACTAGATTACTTAATAAAAGATATTGTTTCAATACCGGGGCAGAGAGGTGGGTGGAGGTTGTTTGATTGATTACTTGATTGATTTTGATAAATCAAAGTAGGGTGCTTACTTTATAATTTTATGTACCATAGGAACATAAAATCAACTTAATAGTCTTTCTCAAATGAATAATGGATATTTTATTTTATTGCAGGATGGTGTGGTTCTTGTTCATTGTAATGCAGGGGTTTCCAGGGCTGCTGCAATTGTTATAGGCTTCCTGATGAATTCTGAAGAAATTTCATTTACCAGTGCTTTTGCTTTGGTGAAAAATGCAAGACCTTCCATATGTCCAAATTCTGGCTTCGTGGAGCAACTTCGTACATATCAAGAAAGCAAAGAAAGCAATAAGTATGACAAAATACCACAATTGGAAAGTGGCAACAGTTCATGAGTTGCATTCTAAATGCAGATGATAGACTAATGTAATATCTGAATTGGCCTCTGTAGCTGTCTTTTCCTCTTTAGGAGAGTAGACTACTAAATTTCCTTTTCTCTTCCTTTTTACAAGTGGAAATGGAAATCAATTTGATTGTCCTAAGCTAGTATATGAATAAATTTTTAAATTATATTACTTTCTGTTATTATAATGTTTGGTAAAGTTAATTACTAAGAGAAAATAACAGTGAATTATGAATCATTGATTTTTACAGAAGAAAAATTTTAAATTTAAATTCTATATTATAGCATGGAAAGAATAGATCAGTTAATGAAGTCTTTAGTATTTTTCTATTCTAACACCTGTTTTCATGAGTGAAAAAACTTGAATGCTACTTGACATACTGTTTTAGAGAAAGGTAAATTTTTTGTAAAGAATATTTTAAAGATTAAAATGAATACCTTCAACCTCCCAAAAGAGTCCCAGAATCTAAAGGTTTATACAGCATTTATGTAGTAGTAACTAGGCATGGTGGCATGGGCCTATAATTCCAGCAACTCAGGAGGCTGAGGCAGGAAGATTGCAAATTTGAGGCCAGCCTGGCCAATTTAGACCCTGTCTAAAAAATAAATAAATAAACAAACAAATAAATAAAACAAGGGCTGGGTTTGTTGTTTAGGGTAAAGACGTGTCCCTGTGTTCATTCCTAATTACCAAACAACAATAACAAACAAGAACAACAATTATATAGTGGTTGCAGTATAGATAAAATTTTAAAATTCTTCCATGAAAATTAATAACTACTTTTTGGTTTTCAATTCTATTACCTGCATTTTTCATTTTGAATGCTTTCTCTTACATAATTATGATGTTACAATTCTTTAACTAGATAACATAGTCTCTTACATTTTGTTTTTTTTTTATCTTAGATACCTAGCATTCTGTTTAGGGATCTTATGTCATAAATTTTTTTGATCTTCTTGGATGTGTGGGAAAATGTTTTATACTAAAAGTTTACTTTTTAGGTGTGATTTGGGTAAGAGCTGTTTTCTAGCTTAGTATTTTACAGGACAAGATGTTTTAAGGAAAGAAAAGTTAGGTTTTGGTAAGAAATTTTAAATACAGTTTTAGGAGACCTAAAATCATTTACAATTTTATCTCTGGCCAGAGGCTTGAATTGGTTCTTTTTGTTTTTCTTTAATGTTTCCATATTGACAAGAGTGAACATTATAAATTTGCTTCCAGATTTTTATTTTAGGTGCTGGGGTTGTGGCTCAATGGTAGTATGCTTGCCTACCATGTGTGAAGGACTGGGTTCAATTCTCAGCACCACATATAAATAAATAAAATAAAGTTCATTGACAAACTACTGGTATAGATGATATAAAAAAGGAGATTTTGAATTTATTTTCAGCATAAGTCATACTTAAAATTAGAGTTATTAGGGGCTGGAATTGTGGCTCAGAGGTGGAGTTCTCACCTGGCATGCCTGAGGCACTGGGTTTGATCCTCGGCACCACCTAAAAATAAAATAAAGATATTGTGTCCACCTATAACTAAAAAGTAAAAAAAAAATAAAATTAGAGTAATTAAGGCAATTTATTGGGTAGATTTGAAGTTTTATTTATGACTTAGAAAATGATTGCCTTGTAGATTTTATTTTAAAAAGTCATGGGCTTTTCTTAAATACTGTATACCTTAGTTGGAAAGTACACATTGAACCCAACTGTGCATTTGGAAAGGCTTTCTTATACTGTCATGAGCAAAAGCTAAAAGTAATAAATGCAAGCTGTGTCTTGATATTGCTTAGAGTCTGACAAGTTGCCATCGTGTGTAATGCTTTGAACTCCTTTCTGTGAAGAAGCAGCTCAAATGTAATTAACCTTCCTTGAGCTGTTTGAAGCCCACCAAACCAGGGAGAATTACCCTAAATAGGAGATTGATGCATAATGCTGTCTCTGTGAACAGTATTGCTGAAAGTTTGCTGGCTGAGACTTCTTGATTGACATGAAAGCATTCATTTAAATATATTTTCTTTTGCTGAGTGCTGCTTGATTTTTAGCTATTGAATCTTGTCACATGAGGCTTGGATATACTTTGTTTGTAGTGGATAATATGGTATTTCTGTCTGTAGTTAGGCCAAACTGTTGCCTGTAGTGATCTGGTTATGGTTCAAACATGTCTGTTCTATTTTATCTACTGAAGTTCTTTGAGCATCAATTTTATTTTAATCTTAAGTGATAGAAGCTTGTTGTATCTGAAATAGATCAGTAGATGTGTTTAGTGCTTTAAATTGGGGGTACTGTGTCAGGCAATGATTTGTCACAGAAATGGTATGTTTACTGTACAAGGCAATAAGTCATGCTGAGATACCATACTATTCCGTAAGAAGGAATGTTATCATTATGATTCTCTATCACATATATTACAAATTAAATCAAACATTTATACCATATATAGGTCTGTTTTGAGGGAAGTGAAAAAAATTCACAGAGTAATTTTTTAACTCTATTTGTTTTAAAATAGATTTTCCTACCTTTTTTTAAAAAGAAAAAAAAAATGAAGGTATAATTTCTTTTTGAAAATTGCAAAGCAATAGCCTTCTTAGTAAACTGAAAAGGTTGAGTAGAACAAAGGCACTGGAACATATAATAAAATTCTATTTACTTTAGATTAATACTTTAAAAACTGTTTTACTAACTTCATGTTTTAATATAAGTTATTGATTAAATGTAATTGGAATTGAAAACCCAGGAAATATTTAGATTTTTTAAATTTTGAGGATAAAATTTAAAAATATACTGATTCAAAAATAAAGATTTCAGAGGAAATATAGTATGTAGTATTTTTATTGAAATTATACTTTGTCTTCCCTTCTTCCCTATTCCTGATTAAAGTGTATGAACACAGTATTTGAATTTGTGTTTGTGAGTATGTGTGTGTGTGTGTATGTGTGTGTGTGTGTGTGTGTGTGTGTGTGTGTGTGTGTGTAACCACATGCACATCCTTTAGAATCTACCTTTATTCTGATAGGTAGTTTCAGTAGTGTGGGAAGCCTTTTCAACTCATCAGCATAATTATTAATAATTAGAATCATTCCAGTGTGTATTAAAGGGCCTCCTCTAATGTTATTTCTGCAAATACTCTTAAGTGTACTAAACATAAATCAGAGTACCACCCTATAACTTTAAACAGTATGTTAAATCATTGAATTACTACCTGTATATGCAAAAGTACAATACATTAAAAGATAACAAATGTAGTACTATGATTTATTTGTTTTTTCAAGGTGACCTAAATTGTTGATTTTCATGCCCAATGGATTCTGAATGTATTATTCGTACTGTCGTTATATAGCAATTTAAACCAGAAGATTTGAAGTTTTATTTTCTTGCACTACAAGTAAGAGCATTTAGTCAACAAATTTATGGTTTATTTCCATGGGTTTACTTTTGAAAAAAAACTTATAGTTAAACTTTTGTATTATAAGTAAAGCTTTGACTTATTTTATATTCATATTTGTAATATAATCTTTATTGTTTCAAAGAGTTAATATACTTTAATAAAAATAATAAATAATGTTTTAATTATTATTATCCCCCTGCTAATAACTTTATTTCTTTGAGGATATTTATTCAAAAAGACATCACTTATTTGTGTTCAAATTCTGGGTTAAAAATTTTGTTGGCAAGCTAAACATAGTGGCACACACCTGTAATACCAGCTATTTGAGAGGAAGAAGGATCCAAATTTGAGGCTATACTAGGCAACTTTGTGAGACCTTGTCTGGAAAAAAAAAAAGGCTATAGTATATAGGTCAGTTGTAGAACTCTTGCTTCATGTGTGCAAGGTCTGGGTTCAACCACAGTACTACACACACACACACACACACACACACACACACACACACACACAAATGTTGGCAAGATACAAAGTATATATTGTAGAGTAAAAGTTACTTTAGATGTATGGAGATTCGTTTTTCCATCCACTTTATTTTTTTATTTTTATTTTTTTCCATCTACTTTAATAAATGAAAAATAAAGTAAGGTCTTATAGGTGGTATAACTGTGGATAAATTTGCAATTAAAATTCACTAGAGCTTCTAAGCCATTTAAGTCAAAAGAAGATATGATTACTATCAGAATAAACTAATGAATATCTAACAGTTGACTCTCTGAACATAATCTGGCACCCACCCCCACATTCACACACCATTACCTCTTTGACTTCATTGTGGACTGCTTTTTCCCTCATTCTCTCTGCTTCAATCACGTTGGCCTCTTTGCTGTTATTTGAAAACATATAATCAAGACCACCCCCACTTCATCACGGCTGTTCCCTCTGCTTGGAGCACATATTTCCCCAGTGAAATCACATCTTTGTTCAAATAGTATCTAAGCTTAGTTAAAGTTTCCCTGGTAATCTTATTTCAAGTTACCCATTTCTAACACTTTTATCCCCTTTTCTTGTTTTATTTGCTGCCTAGTATCCTATATGCTTCATTTTTCTTTTTTTTCCCCCATTAAAACTTAGACTCTCCAAGAATTTTACTACGTTGTTAGTTGTGTATAGCAGGCATTAAAAAAATGTATGTATCCTGAGTAGGTATTCAAAAATTGCTTGTTGAAAAAGAAAGAGGGATTTTCCCTCAGATTTTTGGATTTGGATAAATGTAATGAGATATCTTGGGGATGAGACCGAGTCTAAACATAAAATTCCTTTGTTTCATATACACATAAGCCTGAAGACAATTTTATACAGTATTTTTTAGTGTTCCTGAATTTGGTTATGACATGTCACATGGGGTTGGGTATGGAATTTTCCACTTATGGCATCATGTCAGCACTTAGAAAATTTAATTTAAAAAAATATCTTTCTTAGTTGTAGATGAACACAATATATTTATTTTTATGTGGTGCTGAGGATCGAACCCAGTGCCTCACACATGCAAGGCAGGTGCTCTACTACTGAGCTAAAACCCCAACCCCAGAAAATTTATATTTGAGGAATTTCAAGTTTTTAGAATTTTATATTGGGGTACACATTTAACACATATAAAAATCTTCAAGAGCACAGGAAGAGAATAATTGATATTACCTGTGGAATAGAAATTTTGAGTAATTTCTAAAAGATAGCATGTGGGTTTAGGAATAGATGAAATGTAATAATTTAAAATTAGAACTACAGGGCTGGGTTGTGTTTCAGTGGTAGAGTGCTTGCCAACATATGTGAGACACTTTATTTTTAAATAAACAAACAAACAAACAAATAAATAATGTATTGTATCCATCTACAACTAAAAAAAGATTTACAGTGGAAGTGGAGTTGTTCTAGGATTGCTCAAATCTCAGAGGTTACATAGACACAGAGTGCAGGGAAGGAGCATGGCAGTGAGGGCTGAACATGCAGTACATCACAGAGAGTATTCCACAAGAACTAATGCTACTGCAAAGTTAAGTTAGCTGAGGACAGAAATCCTCCATTGGAAGTCATTTTTGAAGATCATTTGATAGATAATGGGGAAATAAGTCAAATCAGTTTATTAAATGCTATGTAATAGGCTGAAATTAGCCTAAAATTCAGTAATAAATAGAATATAATATTATCACTGTGTACAGATACATAAGTGTGTTCTTTATAATGTTGGTACTATTATTCCCATAATTCAAATGAAACAATAACATTAGAGTTATTAATGTCACATACCTAACTATTAAGTATTTGAAGTCAAGATTACTGGTTCTCTAAATGACACAATTGTGAAGAGTTTTTTTTTTTTTTTTTTTTTTTTGATGGCAGCAGGTAGTGGGTACCGAGGATTGAACTCAGGGGCACTTGGCCACTGAACCACATCCCAGCCCTATATTGTATTTTATTTAGAGACAGGGTGTCACTGAGTTGCTTAGTGCCTCACTTTACTGAGGCTGGCTTTGAACTGATCTTCCCATGCTGTGGCCACACCCTGCATCGAGTCATTTAAATATATATATATTTATATATATTTAAATATATATAAATATATATATTAGTTGTTGCTGGACTTTATTGTATTCATTTATTTATATGTGGTGCTGAGAATTGAACCCAATGCCTCACACATGCTAGACAAGCACTCTATCACTAAGCCACACCCAGCCGAATAATTTTTAAAATTAATTTTTCACCCTTAGTTTTCACATAAGCTGGGACAGAATATACCACTTTTGAACAGCCTAGAATTTAGGATTACTGTTACTTTGAAAATATTATTTAGACTAGATGTCAAAGATATTCAAAATTGTAGAGAATAGCATAATTACCTGTGATGTTGATTAACTCATGGCTTTTCTTGATTAATGTACACACTGAGCCATCATCTCCCTTCTCCCCTTCTGACTTCCCTACTCAGCAATGATTTCAAGGAAAATCCCAGACATTAACTCTTTCTAAAGTTCATCCCATTTCTTCCACAAAGGTATCCATTTTGCCTGCTCGACACTTCAAGGTTTTCAAATATCTTATTTAACCAATCTGATAGTTCAAATAAAACACTGGGAAATAAAATTACAATTGAAAATTTTGAAGTTATTCTTTCACTTCCCAAAGGCGTAAGGATCAATTTTTAATTAACTTAAAGACAGCAGGTGAATCAGCTAAACATGTTTCTTTTGATGCTTGACTGCCTCTTTTCTGCTAGTTGTTTACTATAATGAAATTAAGAGGAAAAACCTCAGAAATATTCACTTGCAATCAATTGTTTAAAAAATTTTGAAGACATGTCTTTAGTTATTGTTTGGCGTAGTCAGATAATGCAAATAATAGCTAATAGATTTGCATTTTTCTAGAGATGATCCCTGTACCTTAAAATCATTTGCCCTTGGATCAATGTCCTATGAAGTCATGATTCCTATGTGTGCTTTGTGTGACATCACAGTGTGATAACACTCCATGTGATGCCATCTGCCAAAGGCAGAGATGATGACAGCATGAGCGATAAAATGCTCCCTCCCCTTGCTCTCTTTCTGAAGTCGACAAACTCCATCTTTTCTCAAAAGTCTTACTAAAGGTGCCTATCATTATTTCTTCATTTCAATTTTAAAGCTTTCTTTGCTTTTTATGGAATAGACTGAGTGTTTAAGAGCAGCAAGTTCATTTTATATTTATATACAAAAACTGCATATTAATAGACATTTATAAATAGGTTTATGAATATTCAGGATATATGAGTGATACACAAGCAGTTTGGCTGTGAATATATCAAAATTATTGAAAATAAATTTTGAAATATTACATTTTACTTTTTCAAAATTTGAGTTTAGGAGAAAGTTGAAATATATGTAGCTCAGAATTAATTTTCAGGTTGAGCTCTTTATAGCTTTAGGTTCTACATCTAAAAGTCAGGGGTTACCTTAATACGTGTTAGTCAGAAGACAGGTTAGGAGGCATGAATCCTGAGTTGGTGGGGTTTGTACACTTCCTATTTTTTTTTTAACTAGAGGAATTCTATTGTATTTTGTAAGCATCTGCACTATATTTTTGAAGAAGTGCTTCCCTATCTACAGTTGAAAATCAATAGTCTACAAAAATAGCACTCTATGGAATCTTATGCCCTGGGGAGGGAATTCAGGGAATTACTAATCCAGACTAGAAATGGGATAGGTTCCACTTTAGGTGATATTAGGCTTGTGACCAGAATAGAAAGGACAAAAGTGAAGTATTATAATTAAGATAATATTCGTGGTGAACATGAAAATATTTTTAAGGATTGTAGCTTAACAAAAAGTACAAAAAAATGTGTTTCTCATTCAGGATAATTCAAATTTTTAAAAATCAAACTGGCTGAGGTGGCTCACAACTGTAATCCAGCAACTCAGGAGATTCAGGCTGGAGAATTGCAAGTTGGAGGCCAGCCCGCACCACTTTGCAAGACCCTCTCTCAAAATAAAAAATAAGGATTGCTGATGTAGCTTAGCATTAAAGTGCCCATTGCTTTAATCCCCAGTACCAAAAAACCAAACAAAAGCCAACAAACAATCCCCCCCCAACAATTCTCAACTTCTTTCAGATTGTCATTAAAGTAAATTAAAAACAAAAAAAATACAAAATTAAAATCTCATTATGCAAAAAAGCAATAAAAGAAGTATTACGAGGTCTTAATTTGTTATAATAAGCATTTTAATAGAAAGAATTGATGCACAGAGTTACAATTTAAAAGACTGCAAACATACCAAATTGTACCAAGTAAGTGATGTCAGAGAATTATCCTTTAATATTTAGAGCTTTTATGAGTTTATTCATTCATTTTCCCCCATATGTATTTACTGAAAAATGATGAAAATACAAGAAAAAAAGAGTAACAGTCTCCCCTCTCAAGAAAATGGGGGATGAAATTACTGGGTCAGGTTTCATGGCAAGGATGGACTTGAACTTGTATTTGAAGGAAAAACAGGACTTTATAGAATGGAGGGAAATGAAGGAGTGTTAGGCAGAGCAAGGTATCCAATGTGAAGATGCCTTAAACCCTAGATAAACCCTAACTTTATCCATTCATTTATCTGAATGAATGGATAAAGTTAGGGTTTTTATTGTTATTTTTTTGTTGGTGCTGGGGCTTGAACCCAAGACCTCACACATGCTAAGCATGTGTTATACCACTGAGCTATACTCCCAGCACCCAATGAGGGTTTTTGAACATCCAGGTTAACAAACAAGGAAGTTTTGATTAATGGTGTGTTAGGCTCAGTGGAAGATATTGAAAGCAGGGAACTGTGAAGTGTTGACTGTAATTGTCTAAAAATTGAGGAGGCAGAGAGAATAGGACTTTGTATCTCAAGATCTGACAAAAGGAAAAGTGGACAACAGTAAAAGCAAAGCAGATGAGGCACTGTGCTAAGCATAATGTATGGTTTCTGTTTTATAAAAAGTTTTATCTAGGGATTAAAATCCAAGTTTTGAATTCAGATGCATTTGACTCTCAGTTCTGCTCTCTGTCAAAAATACTATGATTTAATTTGGAGTTTCTAAGGCACTAACAGAAAACGTGACAACTGGAATAGGGGCTGGTTTTAAGGGTAAAATGAGATTGTTTTGAGGTCTGATATACTGATAGGTTTTACAACAAAAATCTGGAAAAGTGGCATTTTGCTTTAAAGGTTGGTGCAGTATTGGAAGTTATTTGTATAGTTGTGACGATTGATAAAGACTTCAAGGGATATGATTAAGAGTTGAAGAAGAAAAGAGATGACAAGGGCTTGACTAAAAATAAGATTTTCAGGTTAGAAAGAAATAGGATCAGTTATTGAAAAGTCAGGGAAGGAGTAGAAAGTCATCACTAAAAACAATGATAAAGTGAAGATAGGGAAACATCATCTGATAAGATCTATCTGTGAACTCTTCTGAGATCTTGAAACAAATTGATAGAAATTAGCACATGTTAGCTAGATGGAGGAACAAAATATAGGGAAGTTTTAAAGACAGGGCAAACTGGACCTCACAGCTTGATAAAAAAGAGCCAGTGGAAAGGGTTAAGATTGAAATACATTAGAAGAAAGGGAAAATATTTTGTAGAGGAAAAACGTTCTTAATTTGAAAAATATTGAAAATAGTAAATAACATCCATAATTAACCACAAAAGTTATGTAAAATATGTCAAACACCCTTCTTTTAAATTCTTGAATTTACAAACCTCTTTCCCACTGTCTCTTGTTAATAGTTTGGACAAGTCTTTTCCAACTTTTTCTGTAAATCAATCTCTCTCCCTCTTTTTCATCTTTCTCTGTTTTCCCTCATCTTGCATCTGTACCCAAATATATCTTTTTATTAAATAAAAATGAAATGCCACATACATATATTTTTTCAAATTACTTCTTCATATAGTTCATACAGCTCTTTCTAGGTCAATATACACTCCCAATTACATATCACATGTATCATTCTTTTAAACATCTATAGAGTTCTTTTCTTTGCCAAGTTCATATTTTTTTAGAGAGAGAAAGAGAAAGAGAGAAGAGAAGAGGGGAGAGAGAGTGAGCGAGAGAGAATTTTTTAATATTTATTGTTCAGTTTTCGGTGGACACAACATCTTTATTTTATTTTTATGTGGTGCTGAGTATGGAACCCAGTGCCCTGCGTGTTACGGCTTGAGCCACATCCCCAGCCCGAAGTTCATAATTTTTATAGAAATTCTTTCATTGAGGAATCTTTCTTGGCATTTTAATTCTAAAAATGTACTGCTGTGTTTTATGGGCTTAACAGTGGTCCCCAAATAAGTTCACATTTTAAACTCTGTAACCTGTGAACACTGTTTTATGTGGCAAAAAGTGCTTTGCAGATGAGATTATTATTTTATTCACCTTGGATAGATACTGATATGGGATTATCCTGGATTATGTGGTGAGCACATGCTCATATCCTTATAGAAGGAGGGAGAGGGAGATTTAATAATAAAGTTGGGGGAAGCAGTGTCAGAGAGACAAAAGATGGTATGCCACTTCCTAGGTAGGAAGATAACAGAAGCCTAAGGATACAGGTAGCATTCAGAATCTAGTAAAAGCAAGGAAACAGATTCTCCCTTGTGTCTCCAGAATAAGCTAGTTCTGTTGATCCCTTGATATTAGCTATAAAAAACTCATTTTGAATTTCTATCCTTCAAAGTATGAAAAGATAAATCTTGGTTATTTCAGGTAACCAAGTTAGTGGTAATCTAGTAAGACCTTATCTGAATTTAATTATGTCTGCAAATAACCATTTCTAAAACAGCTCACATTCACAGTTAGGACTTGAACATAAGTTTTCATTTTAATTTTTTAGGGGGTACACTGGGGGATTGAACCCAGCAGCTTTACCACTGAGCTGCATCCCCAGTCCTTTTTATTTTTTATTTTGAGACAGGGTCTCACGAAGTTGATGAGACTGACCTCAAATATGTAGTCCTCTTGCTTCAGCATCCTGAGTTGTGAGGTTTACAGGCATGTGCCCCTGTGCCCAGTTGAATGTAACTTCTTTGGGGGCTATAATTCAATCCATACACTCATTAAAATGAGTCAGTTCAACCTGCAAGTTCTTTTTGAAATTTGAACCCTGAAATTGCTATTGCTTTACTCCAATGACAAAATTCTGGATTTGGGTTTTAGAAGGCTTCAAAGGAGATAGAAAAAGATGGGTGGCTATTTGAGGCTAATGGGCTTTATGGGGATCAGACAGCATCCCACATTACATAACATACAGCACATTACTCTTATGGAGTTTATAAAATGCAAAACTAAACAATATACTTTTACACACACACTTACGATATGTGTGTGCGATATCAATACATGAATATGCCGAAACAAAAGCAGCAGAGTGATGGGAGGAGTATGACAAGATTCCGCCATGTGGTGTGTTCCCAAGTGTTTTTTTATTATCCACTACTTAATATTTATGTATGTGTTTGTCAGCTTTTTGTTGTTGTTGGGGGGCGGTTTACCGAGGCACTCACTACTGAGCCTCAGCCCTATTCGTATTTTATTTAGAGACAAGGTGTCACCGAGCTGCTTAGCGCCTCATTGTTGCTGGGGCTGGTTTTGAACTAGCAATCCTCCACAATCTGAGCCTTCAAACCGCTGGGATTAGAGGCGTGCGCCACCGCGCCTGGCAACTGTTCTCTTGTATGTATTCTTATGCAATGAAACACAGTACTCGAGTTAGGCTTTAATGTATAATTGTGCCTACATGAACACAGTTTAAAATAATCAATACAGAGATGATATAAAATTCGTTTCAAGAAAGGAGCTTTTTGCATTCAGCGTAGAAATTGACCCCGTCTCATCAAGTTTACTTTTCCAGGTGTTACTGAGAAAATCTGACAGATAACAGAGCGTTGGGGA